GAGAGGTGCATAACTCTCTCAAATTGACAAGACTCCTGAGTAGCACTGACGTAGTTTGAATCCTGTCCTTTTGACTCCAAGTCCAGTGCTCTTTCCATGGAGTCTTCTGTGCAGCACACAATAATTTCTGAGATCCTACAAACAGCACTGCATAGCACCAAGTACTTCTGTTTCTCCTTTTTTTCTCTCTCCTTCCTCGAAGTCAAGCTCTCCACACTTTCAAAATAATCCTGAGGTTGCTTATCTCTTGTATTCATACTCTCTACCGTAAGGTGCATATGTTTCAAATAGTGTTTGGAATAAATGAGCCAGTGGCAGGGTTTGAGATTTTGGTTTAGACAAAAATAGAGTTATTACCAGGTCTCCCTATAATGGGGTATGAAACTCTATGTCCTAAAAAAAACAGCAGCTGTAACCTAACAAAGTGAAGAATTAGAAAGTGCCCAGTATGGAGCTTATAAGACCCTTGTGGGTAGGAGACATGCTGCCGTCTGAAACTTATTGTTGCTGTTATTAGTTGCTGTTGAGTCTATTCCAATTTACACTAATCGCATATACGCAGGATAGAACTGCTCCATAGGGTTTTCAAGGCTGTGACCTTTCGGAAGCAATTGCCAGGCTTGTCTTCCGAGGTGCCTCTGGGTAGGTTCAAATCGTTCAGCCAGTAGTCGAGTGCTTAACCTTTTGCACCACCCAGGGACCTGAAATTTAGCGTGATTTAAATCTGTTGTTGTGTGCCATCGAGTCAATTCCAAGTCATAGTGACCCTACAGGACAGAGTAGAACTGTCCCATAGGGTTTCCTAGGCTATAATCTTTATGCAGCAGATCCAGGTCTTTTCTCCTGCAAACTGGCTGGTGGGCTGGAACTGTAGACCTTTTGGTTAGAAGCCGAGGGTTTCAACATAGTGCTACCAGGGCTCCTTATGCTTTAAGTCTACCTGTGTTCAAAAACATCAAAACAATAATAGCTTTTATTGAGCATATACTAGCTGCTGGGCAAAAAACCTCCCAAATACTAAGCACTCTATGAGCATTATCTCTGAATTTTCTCAACAACCCGGAAGATAAACACTAACCCGTTCCAAACCCATTGCCGTAGAGTCGATGCTGACTCACAGTGACCCTACTGTAGGACAAAGAAGAACTGCCCCATAGGGTTTCCAAGGCTGTAGTCTTTACGGAAGCAGACTGCTGCATCTTTCTCCCATGGAGCGACTGGTGGTTCAAACCACTGACCTTCTGGCTAGCAGCTGAGTGTGCCACCAGGGCTCCTAGATAAATACCTACTACTATCCTAACTTTAGGATTGAGAAAACTGAGGTACCGGGAGATTAAATAACCTGCCCAAAGTCACTCAGCTAGGTAAGCAGCAAAGTTGGGACTTGAACTTGATTATAGAACTGGCTCCATGGCTTTAACTGAAAACCTATCTACATGTGATCTGAAGAAAGATGGAGAATAAACAAAATACCTGCCAAAAAGACTGAAAACACCATCCCCCTCCCCCGCCAGGCCATCTGCACCAGAACAGTTTGTTGTCTGACTTTACTCTCTGTTCCATAATTCCCAAGAGGGGATGCAGACCTCAAGTCCCTCAATCCCCCCAACCCCACCTGCATAGGGATACTAGATAAAATATAGGACACCCAGTTAAATGTGAATTTCAGGTAAACAACAAAGAACTTTTTTAGTATAAGTATGTCCCATTCAACATTTGGGACATACTTATACTAAGTTATTCGATGTTTACCTGAAAAATACAAATTTAACTGCATGTCCTGTATTTTTACTTACCAAATCTGGCAACATGGAGAGGAGCGGTCAGCTAGGTTCCGGGTTGTCCCGATCTCTGTGGCGTTAACATTTTAGGCTCTCAATGTGTTGCTGGGAAATTTTCACACATTTCTTATTCAGAGCCCAGTACTCCTGGCAGATTTTTCTGAAGCCTGAAATAGTTGCTTAGCTAAAGCAAGTGTTATGGATTGAATTGTGTCCCCCAAAAGTATGTGTTGGAAATCTTAACCCCTATATCTGTGGTTATAATCCCACTTGGGAATGGGTTTTCTTTGTTGTGTTAATGAGGCAGTGTTAGTGTAGGGTATGTCTTAAGTCCATCTCTTCCGAGATATAAAAAGAGCAGACTGAGCAAGCAACGAAGTAAGCAAGCAGAGACGGGGGAAGATAGATGCCAAGCCATATGGAGATCTCCGAGGAACAGAGGCTCAAAAGAGACAAACTCTCCTCTAGAGATGACAGAAAAACTTCCCCTAGAGCTGGTGCCCTGAATTTGGACTTCTAGCCTCCTAAACTGTGAGAAAATAGGATTTCTATTTGTTAAAGTCACCCACTTGTGGTATTTCTGTTATAGCAGCACTAGATAACCAAGACAGCAAGTAATTGTGGAAAGGTATAGCAAAGGCTGCACATGGATTTATTTTATCGACCCGTCAAACGTTCATTGAGAGCCCAGTCCTGGTGCTATGGAGAGATACCAAGATCCAGGCCATCAGGGATACAGGATGTGGGGGAGGAGCAGCTATGTACTTAATGCGTGAAGAAGCAAAACGAGGCTGGTGTCAGAAGAAAACCAAAACCCGTTGCCGTCAAGTTGATTCCAAATCATAGCGACCCTATAGGACAGAGTAGAAATGCCCCATAGGGTTGCGTCAGAAGAGAGGCCCTGTAAAAATGCCATAGAGGTGGGAGGAATTAGGGAGGAATTCACAGAAGAGCCCCTAGATGGCATCCTTGAACAAATATCCCAGTGGAAGCCCCAACTCAGCTTTTCAAAGCCGTATGCACCAAGGAACGATAGTGACATTGTTTTGCTCTAAGGAAAAAAACAAACCCTTTCCCAGGTGGGGCATCAAACATACTACAGCTGAGCAAGTGCGTGAAGCCAGACAGGATTGTCTGAAACTTAAGAATTTAGGGACACTTGCCTGTCCATGTTCTTGTGTTTTCCCCTTTATCTGTTGCTGTGGAGAAGTTAGAGCAGGATTCTTTAGCTGATTATCATACTCCTCCTCCTCCTCAAGCTTATTTCCCTATCCACTGCCCTTTTGAAATTTTAGGTGGCAAAAGTAATAATACCACCAAATATACTTTGTGCCCTACTATGTGCCAAACAGGTGCTAAATTCTAATTTACAGCCATTATTACGCTAATCGTCACTACAGCTCGGTGATGCTTTCTCTCTTTGTAGAAAGAGTTCTTTTCCAGGTTGCTATTGTTCTAGGGTAAAAATATCACAAAGTTTGGTAAAGCAAAAAGAAATGTTTTATTCAGCATATATCAAAGTGGCAAAAGTGGGAAACGGACAAGCACGCTGCCACAGCCATGTCTACCCGAGTCCAAGGAACGTTACAGAGTCATCAGTATATACTAACGTTACAAATGGGCAAAACCATTGAAAGCTTCACCTTTTCATAGATTAGCTAAAAACTGTCAAGTCAACCGTGATTCTACATTTTGAATCATCTTTCTTAACAATCATTGGTACAAGTTTCGGTAATGACAGTCAGGAGGGTCTTCACTGGTCCAACGAATCTTACTATTCACTAAAGGTAATGAAAAAAGATGAGTGGAAAGTATGTGGGTCTTTTGTGCTGTTTTTATGAGTTGTGTGAAAGTTTCCCTAAAAGATGTTTTCCAAGATTGTCCTAGCTATTGTCTGTATACCTCAGGGCCCAGTTGATGTGTCCTTGTGAGTCCAGCTCCAGCTGGGTCACATTCTACGACAGGGAATAATGGCTACAATATTATCCCCTAAATCACTATAAACAAGGGCCACAGAGAAGAGTTAGGCCTGCAAGGGCCCTGGATGGAAAGTGCCGGAGGAGTAGTAGACCAAGGCTCAGGTCTATTGCTCTCCCTGTTATGCAGATGAGGAAGTCACAGGAAGAGTCAGACCTGGGCCCAGAGCCAAGGACTGTCAGACTCCAGTCCATGTCTCCTGTCACCAGTATGCCCTACAGCAGTGTTCTCAACTCTGGGAGACTGTCCCCAGGGGACATTTGGCGATGTCTGGGGACACTTTTGGTTGTCACCCTTGGGGGGGTATATTGGCATCTAGTGGGTAAACCAAGAAAATCCATTGCTGTGGAGTCAATTCTGACTCATAGTGACCCTATAAAACAGAGTAGAATTGCCCCATAAGGTTTCCAAGGCTGTAATGTTTATGGAAGCAGATTGCCACATCTTTCTCCCTCAGAGCAGATAGTGGGTTCCAAACACTGACCTTTCCGTTAGTGGCTGAGTGCTTAACCACCGCACCACAGGGCTCCTCATCTAGTGGGTAAAGGCCAGGAATTCTGCTAAACAACCTGCAATGCACTTGGCAACTTACCACCCACAATACAGAATTATCTTGCCCCAAACGTCAGCAACGCTGAGGTTAAGAAACCCTGTTCTATGAGCTAGATTTGGAGTCAAGAAGGTACTCTCCGGCTCTGGCTTGGATCCTTGCTAATTCAGGGATCTGGATTTAGTTACTGTGTCTCTCAGGCCCTTGACTTTTTCATACGTACAATGGAGAAATAATCTAATTGATCTCTAAGGATCTCACTGGCTCATGGCATTTGCATCCGAGGAGTTAAAACCTTTAAGTCAGGGTCATACCTCAGCATACCTGAGCTCCAGAGATGCTTCCAGAAGAGTTGGTTCTGGGCATTCGGGCACGGAAAGCCCTAAGACTCTGTGAAAACCCATTCTCAGCGGCCCGTCCCCCTGGCTCTGAGGTGGCCCGAGCATTCTCACTCCAAGCCTGGGGACTCTCTCTGAGCCTCAGTCTCCACATCTGTAAACCTCTCCATTTGGTCCAGGTGACTCCAGGGAGCTTTGCCAAGCTGGGCGCAGCCGGTTGCCGCCTCGGGCCCAAACCTTCCCGCCCCGCGGGCAGGGCGGTGGGGAGCGTGGGCAAGGGGCGGCGCCGGTTGCCGAGAGGCAGGAAAGGCGGCAACACCGGGAGGACGCAAGCTCCGCGCCCGCCCTTCTCTTCCTGCTCCGGCTCTGCCTCCCTTGGCTCCGCCTGCAGAAGGGAGTGCGCGTGGGCTGGGGACCACGGGGCCCAGGACCAGGTGAGAGCGCTTAGGTTGGGGGCGGGGATACTGGATGCCCCTGCTGGCTGGACCCATCGCTGGCTGGGAAAATGGAGGAGCGCGGGAGCCGGGCTGGAGAGGGCAGCCGAGTGCCCCACGCCTTTAGCTATCTGTCTGCGGTCTAGTAATGAGGGATGTCTCTTCCCTCCCGAGTCACTGGGACTGGGAGACTGGGCCCACTCGGCCCCCCCTCCCCTGGCCATACTCACACCCCCACCACTAGGTTTGGTAGAAAAGTTGCCAGCCCCACCCCACCCTCGAGACCCTGGGAAACTTAGTTGGGGAGGCGTCCAGTCTCCAAACCCTCTCCCCAGAATTAGTCAAAATGGCTGTCCTTCCCCCCACCCTGTCCCTGTTCTCTAACGAGAACCGCCCCTTCGCTTGTCACTGCAGAGGAGAGGAGTTGCAAGCACCAAAGGTGGATTCTTCTCCTTCCCAAATTACTCCGACTCCCTCCTGAGCCCCTCTTTCTTAACCTCCACTGCCCTCCACCTGCATCACACTCCTTTCCTCCGTCCCTTGGATGCCAAGAAACGGGGTGCTCCCCTCCCTGTCCTGGGGAGCTGAGAGATTGAAACCAGATGGAACGTTGAGGGTAGCCGTTTGCAACGAGAGGGGCGGGGGTGTGGATGTTTTATTTGAGGACTTAGAAGGGGTGGGCAGGGCGGCTAGTGTTCAGCCTGGTGGGTGCAGAGGAGGCCGGGCAGCTCTCGGCTGCGCGGGGGTTAACGTCTTCCGTCCTCCGGAGACTTCTGTGTGCATGGGGAGGTTCCTCTGAGGGGTGAGTAAATGAGGCGCTGGGATTGGCGGCCCGGTGGGGGATTTGACGACAGTGGCTGGTGGCATTCCTCCCACCTTCACCCCTGTCGGACTCCCCAAACAGGTCTGGATGGCACTTGGGTTTCCCAGGCTCCAGGAGAACTGTAAGGGGAGCTGGGTTTGTTTCTGCTGGCTGTAGAGATTAGGGGAGCTGAGCGCTGGGAACATTCCCGAGTCCAAGATATGTGCCAGCTGCAGCTCCAAAGACAAAATATAGGGGTGGGAGGTTAGTCCTTCCAAAGGGTTTCCTGTTTTACAAAAGGGATACTAGCAGGGGTCCTCTAGTGGGAGCCGATTAAAATGTGCTTACTTTTGCATATGAGACCCTTGTAGATATTTGTAGGTATTTTTTTTCTAGAACTCAACGTTAGCATATGGAATATTCAGTTTATAAGTAAATGTGGGCATGTGTCACAGTTCATTTTAGCTGCTGTGACCTAACCATTTAGGTGTACAGTCACCGATGGCAACTGGTTTTATTATAGGCCTGGAGGTCAGTTGTAAGGAACAAACAGAAAAGGCTGTAAGACTGGGGCCAGCTTACAGGTGTTGCTCTGGAAAATATAAAATAAATAAGGATGATATATTTATATGAACATCCCACAAGGGTTAAAAAAAAAGTAGCTAGCTTAATCAAAAAATTGTTTTTTATTAAAAATAAATAAGTAAAAATGACGTGAGATTGGGACAGTTCCGGAAATTCCAGGCTATTTGGCCACGGAATATCATTGTGGGGAGGGCTGCTTGGGGAAGAGGCTTCTGCACATGAATAAATAGAGAATGATTTACGGCACCACGTAAATTGGGAGGCAGCCTGCATAGTGGTGGGTAGTAAAGCGGCCACGGTCACAGTTGTTTGCGAAAGGCTTTGTACAGGGGCGAAAAACAAGCAACGGGACTTGAGATAGTATATTCAACTTCCTTGCTTTTTTTCTACGTGCTTTCCAGTGTTTTGTCAGGCTTACGTATAAATGTAAGCACTCAGAGAAAATACTGTTAACATTTTGTTGTATGCCTTTCTAGATCTATTCATGGGAATAGCAATATATACCTAAAAATATATATTATATGTAACAAAATGTACAATTTTGTCATCTAATTTCTCTCACTTATCATGGCCACCTTCTGGTGCCCTATATAAATATCCACTTTATCCTTTTACTGACTGCACTGTATTCCATTGTGTGAATTCTGATTTAGTTAACCAATTTCCTACTAATGGACAGTTAGTTAGCTTTTTTCCAATGTTTTTCTATTTATTATAAAGGTGTGATGCACATCTTTTAGATATATTTTGATATACCTGTTTGATTATTTCCTTCAGGTTCCTGGAAAATAAATTGCTGCATCAAAGAGTGTGTAATTTGAAATTTTGATAGATATTGCCAGGTTACCTTCCACCTACGCATCCACCAGCAGCAATGTGTAAGGATAGTAGAAACTCTTCTTGAACTAATTACATGGAGACTAATTACACGGATTGAGTTGTGTCTCCCAAAAATATGTGTCAACTTAGTTAGGCCATGATTCCCAGTATTGTGTGGTTGTCCTCCATTTTGTGATTGTAATTTTATGTTAAAAAGAGGATTAGGATGGGATTGTAACGCCCTTACTAAGGTCACATCCCTGATCCAACGTAAAGGGAGTTTCCTTTGGGTGTGGCCTGCACCACCTTTTATCTTACAAGTGAGGTGGGAGGGAGGGGCACCTCATACCACCCAGAAAGAAAGAAGCACTGGGAGTAGAGCATGTCCTTTGGACCCAGGTTCCTGTTCAGAGAAGCTTAGTACAGGGGAAAATTGATGAGAAGGACCTTCCTCCAGAGGCGACAGAGAGAGAAAGCCTTCCCCTGGGGCTGATGCCCTGAATTTGGACTTCTAGCCTACTAGACTGTGAGAAAAATTTTCTCTTTGTTAAAGCCATCCACCTGTGGTATTTTTGTTATAGCTGCACCAGATGACTAAGACAGAGACCATTAATGGTTTAAGAAATTTCTTTTGTTTCCTCCAGTGACAGCAAGAGAGAGAGCGCCATGTGATGTTTGACTGTGCCCTGTGCTCACTGGTAGAAGAATTAATCCCCAGGGAAACTAAAGTGGGTTTCAGGATGGCAAAAGAAGAGCCCCAAAGTATCTCAAAGGACTTGCAGGAGCTGCAGAAGAAGCTGTCTTTGCTGATAGAGTCCATCCAGACTAACTCAAAGGTCAGTTTCCAATCACCATGTATACTGGAAAATCCCAAAATAACATTAGCCTAAGCAAGATAGAAAGTTATTTCTCTCTCAAGTAGAAGAAATTTGGAGAGACGTCAGGAATCTTTCTAGCCCACCCTGCTATGTCTAAACTCTGACCTTCAACCTCATTGTCTAAGATGGCTGCTAGAGCATCAGCCATCACATCAATGTTCCAGGCAGTCAGATGGAGAAGGGAAAAGAAGACTTGCCACCCACCTCCAATTTAAGGAAAGTTCCTGGAAATTACAACACTTCCAATTACATCTCTTAGGCTAAAAATTTTGTCACATGACCACACCTAGCTGTAAATGCAATCTTTTAACTGGACAGACGACTCTCAGTCTGTGCCACAGATATCTTTTTTTTTGGTTTTCTTGTTTGGCTCGTCTCATCTGAAAATGAAGGGCTAAAGCTTATTTTCAGATTTGAATCCAGGGTTCCATGATAGCACTGTGCAATATAAATATGATGTGAGCCTCATATGTAACTTTAAACTTATAGTGGTTGTTGTTTGCTGTTATCGAGTCAGCCCTGACTCATGGTGACCCCATGCACAATGGAACAAAATGCTACCTGTTCCTGTGCCATGCCCATAATTGGTTGCAGCTTAGACTGATGTGATCCATAGGGTTTTCATTGGCTGATTTTCAGAAGTAGATTACTAGGCCTTTCTTCCAAGTCCATCTCAGGCTGGAAGCTCAGCTGAAATCTATTCAGCGTCATAGCAACATGCAAGCCTCCACTGATGGGTGGGTTGGTGGGTGGGTGGTGGCTACACATTGAGGTGCGTTAGCTGGGAATCCAACCTGGGTCTCCTGCATGGAAGGCAAGAATTCTACCATTGAACGACCAATAACATCAAGATTTTTTAGAAGCCACATGTTAAAAGGAGAAAGAAACAGGTGAAATTAATTTTAATGGTATATTTTATTTAACCCAATATATCCAAATTATTGTCATTTCAACATGTGATCATTGTAAAACAATTAATGAGATATTTTACATGCTTTTTTGTACTAAGTCTTCAAAATCCAGTATGCGTGTTACAGATTTCAATTTGAATCAGCCACTTTTCAATTGTTCAGCAGTCCCTCAATGGTGCTGGGATTTGAGATAGTATATTCCACTTGCTTTCATGTTCAACTTTATTGATTTCTTCTATGTGCCTTTTAAGGAACCCTGGTGGCACAATGGTTAAGCACTCGGCTGCTAACCAAAAGGTAGGCAGTTCAAACCCACTGGCCATTCCTGGGGAGATAAGACCTGGCAGTCTGCTCCTATAAAGATTAGCCTAGGAAACCCTAAGGGACAGTTCTACTCTGTCCTATACGGTCGCTATGAGTTAAAATCTACTCGATGGCACTCAACAATATGCCTTTCAGCATTTTGTCAGGGAAAAATAAACAGCTCTCAAAGATAATACTATTAACATTTTGTTGTATATCCTCCTTCTAGATTTTTTTCAATGTAACATGCTGACATAAATATATACATACAGGTAACAAAGTGACTTATTTTGTAATCTGTGTTTTTATACTAGACAGCACAGTCCCACTAGGGTCTGTTTGAGGAGACACTGCTTTGCCCTGAAGTTCCTATCCTCTGCAGAGACCTTTTCTGGACTCACTCCAGAATTGCTCTGGCACTCTGGACTTAACAAGCTATTTTTAAATTGGACAAGCAGCATTCTAGTTATCAGGCTGAGTCTCTCGTTACTAAAAGGCCCCAAAGGCCCCACACTTATATTAATTAATGTTAATTGAGCATCTACTATATAGAAAGCACTATGTTAGGCATTAGGCATGCCTTAACTTATTTAATGTTAACATTGACCTTCTGAGGTGCTTGGCACCTGAGAGTTTAATGAATGTTGTCTATTATTATTACACATGACTAAATCATGTCATTCCCCTTCTGTGACAGACTAGACTTCCTGGGAGAAGACAATTTCTTATTTAACTGTTTGAATCTTAAAATTGCCTCTCTGGTTAGCTGACTGACTTTCTACTTTTTGGACACAGGCTCAGAAGAGACCAAGAAAAAAGTAGATTCTTTAAGGACTGGAAGTAGAACAAACTTGCCTTTCTCTTGGATTCCCACACCAAACTGTCCCCCAAGTCTTACTAATTTTTCTCTTGTCATTTCCTTTCCTACATCTTCCTGTCCTCTACCCTCTCTGCCATCAGCCTAGATTTGGCTGGCAATATCTCTTGTCTTATTTTCTGCAAATCTTCTTAATTGCATCTTGTACATAACTGCCAGGATTTTCTTTCTTAAAAAATCCTTTGATTATGCCAATTTTGACTCATAGCAACTCTATAGGACAGAGTACAGCTGCTCCATAGGGTTTCCAAGGTTGTAAACCTTTACAGAAGCAGATTGCCACATATTTCTCCTGTGGAGCGGCTGGTGGGTTTGAACCACTGACTTTTTGGTTAGCAGCTGAGTGCTTAACTTCTCCACCACCAGGGCTACTTTTGATTATGTCATCAAACCAAAAACCAAACCGACTGCCGTTGAGTCGATTCTGAAGGCTGTAAATCTGTACGGAAGCAGACTGCCACATCTTTCTCCTGCGGGGTCGCTGGTGGTTTTGAATCACCGATCTTTTGGTTAGCAGTCAATCACGTTAACCACTGCGCCACCAGGGCGCCTTGATAATGTCAGAGTCCTGCTCAAATGCCAGCAGTTGTTCCCTGTTTTGTTTTTTTTGTAAGTAACGTTTAAATGAGTGCTGTCTAGTAGAAATATTATACAAGCCACATACGTAATTTTAAATTTTCTAGTAGTCACATTGAAAACACAAAAAGAAACAGATGAAACTAATTTTAATAATTATTTTATTTAACCCAGTGTATTCAAAATAATACAATGTCAACACGTAATCAATATGATCCACGATTAACGAGGTATTTTGCATTCTTTTTTTCATACACTTAGAGCACATCCAAATTCAGGTGCTAAATTTTCATCGGAAATCCATTCAGATTTCATAAAATTTACAGTTGAAAAAGTAGACTCACGTACCCAACTTGTTTGAAACATACTTAAAAATTTTCCAATAAGTGAATCAAGTATCAGTTTTAAAATTTAACATTGAGTTCCTCAGTCGCACTAGCCACATTGCAAGTGCTCAATGGCCACATTGGGCTAGTGGCTACCATGCTGGACAGCACAGGTGTAAACTCTTAAGCCCAGCACACTGTGGGTTCCAACTTCCTCTGCTACTCTAGCCACACAAGGCTTTCCTTGCTGGGCGGCAAGTTCACTGTGTACCCTGCTGCACCCTTTCCTGGACAGCTGGTCTGTTCCTCCCCAGTGAGACGGTAAGCTCACTGTGTACCCTGCTCCCCACTGTCCCGGACAGCTGGTCTGTTCCTCCCCAGTGGAACGGTAAGCTCACTGTGTACCCTGCTGCCCACTGTCTTGGACAGCTGGTCTGTTCCTCCCCAGTGGGGTTACTGGAGCTCTTTTGCTTGTAAGGAGCAGAGAGAACAGTTTGGTCTGTCTGCTGACACATGGAGGGTTTACTAAGGATACACGTGGACTAGAGCTGGGAAGCAATTGAGACCTGAGACAGCTGGAGGAACCAGCCCTGCACTCCAGATCCTTCCCATGTTTCCTTCACCTCTTTCTCACCTTCAGCCTCCTTAATTAAGGAGGATCTCATTGGGCTCTGATAACAGAATGTCGGAATGGGCAGCCCCAGCTCAGAGGTGGATTTCTGGTGCAGTCACCTCTGGCTAGAGAAGCTGAAGAGCCAGGTCTTCGGTAGCTTTTGTTGAATGGGATAGTAGGAGGCAGTGTAGCCCGCAGGCATGGTGCAATTTTGTGGCCTGGCACGAAGTGAAATTTGTCATGCCTCAAGAGTTCTCCTTAGGAGGCAATTCTGAAGCCCCAAGACAGTGGCTGTGGCTTCTCCTTAGGACCAAAAAGAAAAAAAACCAAACCAGTTGCCTTTGAGTCGATTCTGACTCATAGCGACCCTGTAGGGAAGAGTAGAACTGCCCCATAGTGTTTCCAAGGAGCGGCTGGTAGATTCAAACTGCCGACCTTTTGGTTAGCAGCGGACTTCTTAACCACTGCACCACCAGGGCTCCGCTCCTTGGGACAGCCTTTTCTATTTAAGCAGAGCTAGCCCCACACGTTGGTCACCATCAACATGGACTACAAAGCCCTCCTGCCTCCCAGCTTGCCCTGAAGTTCCTACCATGTGAACCACTTGGGTGATGCAGCTGTTTCCAGGAGGTGCTTGTGTTTTGGTAGTTGCCTCTGTGATCACTGTAGCTTGAATTATGTCTTTATTTCAGCTACTGGCCTAAAGGCCCCTAAGAATGAGGCACAGGGAAGGTCAGTTTTGATGGGGGAGAGCTCTGGAATGATGGGCCCTTAAGAGAACAGGGGCTAGCACACCAGTACTGAATGAGTAAAGAGAAATCATGGGGCCTGCAAGAGGTAGAAGGTGCCCTGGTGGAGCAGTGGTTAAACACTCAGAGGCTAATTGAAAGGTCAGCAGTTCCAACCCACCAGCCATTCTGCGGAATGTCTGCTTCCATAAAGATTACAGCCTTAGAAACGCTTTGGGGCCATTCTACTCCATCCTACAGGGTTGCTATGACTCAGAATCGACTTAACCGCAATGGGTTTGGTTTTGGTTTAAGAAGAGGTGGAGAATCCCAACTGTGGGGCCAGCCCTACATTAAAACTCATTCCTCCACTGAGTCAAATGCAAGAATCCTTCTGCCTGGTGTGAAGGAAGGTAAGCTATTAATACAGCATAGGCCTGCAGTAGTCATCAGGCTGTGGCTTTGGTATCCAGGCTGATGACACAAAACTATTTTACCTGATGGAGTGGCAGCTGTTGTATAAGCATTTGGCATATGGAGTCAGAAGACCTTGCTTTTTAGGGGGTAGATTTTGCTGCTTGGAAACTGTGGCTCTAGACACGTCATTTAATCCTGTGCTTTTCTCAAACTTTAATGTGCATACAGATCACCTGAGGATCTTGTTAAAATGCAGATTCTGATTTAGCAGGGCTGAGGTGGGGCCTGAGAATCTGCATCTCTAACAATCTCACAGGTGATGCTGTTACTGAGTACCTTGGGGGTTTAACCTCGTTGCACGCCAATGACCTCAACTATGAAAACCTTAGCTTTAAAGTAGGATGCAGATTGTATGTACATCACACAATGCACCTGTATGCTGTGGCTGTCTTCTGAAAGAGTCTGTGTTAAGCTGCAGAGTGGTGCCTTGTTCTGTCCTCCTTTCATGAGATGTGTGGTTGGGTGGGACCCTCAAATATGCCACCTGTCCACAGCTGCCTTAAGTTGTTGATGATATGACTCGTGTCTTGGGAGAAGCCTTGTTGTGGTGACTTCTTATGAGCTTTCCAACTTTACGACCTCTGACTGTACTTCCCACAGCTTGGGCTGATGGTTCAACCTGGGATGTAGGGCCTCGGGCAGGTTTGCCCGGAGATGACGGCAGGAGATTCTGACGTGGCATTCAGTCCTGGCTCTTTCTCCTTTGCCCGCAGGTGGTTGCCTTTATGACATCTCCAGTGGGTCAGTACTTGGACAGGCATCCTTTTCTGGCCCTCACCTTGCTGATGTTCATTGCCATGTCAGCTGTTCCAGTTGGGTTCTTCCTGCTCCTTGTGGTGCTTACGTCCCTGGCTGCTTTTGTGGGAGTCATATTACTGGAAGGTATCCTGCTCAATTATTCACCCCCTTGGAGAATGACTCAACCATAAAAACAGTATTTACCGGGCATCTGCCACTCTTGTCAACGGTTCCTGTTCTTGTCAAAATCACATCGACCAAGGCAGCTTGTCAGAGTAGTTAAAAAATGGACTCTGGAGTTTATATTAGAATGCCACTTCTACCTGAATTTTTCACAAGTCTTTAACAGGCCACACTTTGAGAAACGCTGACCTAGGATTTCTGTAAACTGAAGTCTTCATGGAAAGGCAAGAGCATCTGTTGGTGTACTCTGCCTCCCTTTCTTTCCAGGGGCCATCCCTGAAACCATAGTAGCCATGGGGATGGAGTACCTTGAGTGGCTAGGCCTGGGCTATTTGACTACTTCTGAGACGAGGAGAAGGAATTTTGCCACACCATGTTTGTACATTATTAGTTCTACACTGGAAAGAGGATGTTTGCTATGAGAGAGGCAAGGGAAAGTGTGCTGGGCAAAAATAATGACCATCCATCATACACATAATAATGTGTTTGTCATGTCCACACTTTGAAGTAATTATTGTTGTATCCTTTTTCAGATTAGTCAAACTAAAAGTCCAAGAGGCCGTAAGCTCATAGCAAATGACTTAACTGGGATTCAAACACAGGCATGTCTACTGTGAAAGTCTATGCCCTTTCCATTACACCTTTTACTATTTTCCCCCACAGACCCCACATGAAAAATATCTTTTCCCTGCACTTATTAGATGGTAACTTATTAATGGTCCCATTAAAAGAATCATTCAATAGTGGATAAAGGGGCCTAGCAGAGCTTGTGATTACAATGTGATAGTTGCCAGGCTGGGTTGTACAAGCTATGATCAAAAGCTACATTTAGATTTTGCTCTATTTAGCATGTATAGCCCATATACCTATAGTCCATAGGTAAGTATTAATTGTAGTATTCATTAGGCAATTTGAAACATTTAAAGTAATTTACCTCCCCCACTACTGCTTTGGCTGACTTGTCTTAGAGGATTCTATTAGAAGCCCATCCCTGACCTATGGGCCATTAACTCATACACCAGCCTGGCAACAAAAGTGAGCAGAGCAGGCCAAGAGCAATACAGTTGGGAGAAGTGGAGCCTGGAGGACACTGGAGGACCAGCCAGTTGTTACTGTGCAGTGTTGCCCACTCAGATAGCCAGGTCGCTTCCTATTTAAATGATGCCAGAAATTTGTATTTTCATGAGAAATCTCTTAAAAAAAAAATCTGAGTTAACTGTCATTATTTTAAACACACTGGCTCGAGGTCAGCCAGTTTTCATCCTGTTTTTGATGACGTGTCGCCTACTATGCCCTCCTCCTAGGACTGGTCATTTCTGTGGGTGGCCTCTCACTGCTTTGCATCCTCTGTGGCTTGGCCTTCGTATCACTTGCCATGTCGGGGACAATCACCGTGTCTTACATGGTAGTCTCCAGCCTCATCAGCTACTGGTTTTCTCCCAGGTGAGTACATGTCAATGGGATAATTTAATCTTCATCATTTCGGATGATTTTCACAGATAATACCCTAACCCCAGTTGATGTCTAGAAGCAAAATTATAAGAGGCACGTGGTTCTCATAATTACCCATACACGTCAGACATCAAATGGGAACTTACAATGGAATTTCAAAGACTATTGCTACCACCATCCATCAAACACGTGATAACTCATGTCATTGTCATGGCAACTCTATGAGGTAGTTATTATTGCTTCCTTTTAAACGATGTCCATTTAATCTGTAAAAATTTGAATAAAGGTGGTTATTCAGGTAGAGAGGGGAGACAAAAGGAGAAAAACCACATTCTCAACTCCAAAACCTAGAATGGTACGGGCGCCGTGAACCACAGTTCCTTCTGTCTGTCTTCATCCCCTGTGCTCTTCAGAGTGTATCTCACCGCACTGAGTCTAGTCGTGGAATATATGGATTTTGTTCCTGTAACATGATCCTAAATGCCAACTATCTCATCTGGGGTTGCAGCTGAAGGAACAGTGATCTCTTTAGAGGCTGAAGGGAAAACCAGCTGTGCTGAAACTACTGGGAGACAGTATGTTTGCCTATAATGTGTCATCTTCCTAAGAGATTTCCGAGAATATCTTGTTTATGCTTGATTTTTGTTCCATGTGCTGACTTTTGAAACCAAGTCCCAAGTGGAATGCAGCTCCATGGTGCGTCATCTAAAGCTCTTACTAAAATGATGATGGTGGCTAACACCCATTGAGTGCTTGCTCTGTGCCAGAGACTTCTGTTAAGCACTTTCCAGGCCTTATCTCATATAATCCTCACAACCACGCCTGAGGCAGGTACTAGCCCCATTCTGTGGTAGAAAAATGAGGCCAGAAAGTAGCAGAGAAGGGACTTAAATCCAAGTCACTTAACTCCAAAGCCCTCTTAACCACAATGTAAAGTGACTCTCAAACAGAAGTAGGTGAACAATTTCGGCAAGGGCCAGATGGTAAATATTTTAGGCTTTGTGGGCCATGCAGTCTCTGTTGCACCTACTCAACCCTGCTGCTGTGGTGTGAAAGGAGCATAGACAATAGATAAACTAATGGGTGTGGCTGCATTCCAATAAAACTTTATTTACAAAAACAGGCAGCAGGCTGAATTTGACCTGAGGGCCATGGTTTGCCAACCCTTGTTGTAAAAGAACCAATATCTTGAATTTTGAAGGAGGTTTTCTACAGAACAGCCTTTGAACTTCTTACCTAAAGGTTATCCAGTTATTACTCATATGTTGAAAAAATAAAACATGAAGTAGGTGTAATTTAAAATCACTCAGGAGTGGGTCTCATAGGATTGCTTAATTGGTATCCCTGGAGTTACATCTTCTGATTCTAGTTAGTTGACTGCTTCTTGACATCTTCCTCAGAAGAGATTGAAAATTATATACAAGGCTTGTCTTTAATCTTCTTGTCTACTCTTATTCCTCCCAGCCAAAGAACTTGGACCCATTGTTTTCACTAGTTTCTCAAACTTTTTGTTCTCAGGACCTGTTTTACATTTTTAAAAATCATTGAGACTTCCAAAGAGCTTTTGTTTATGTAGGTTAAGGCTATAGATAATTACTGTATTAAAATTAAGACAACTTTTTAAAAATTTATCTACTCGTCTAAAAATAACAATATTACATGTTGATATAAGTAGCATATTTTTATGAAAACTAGCTATAATTTTCAAAAGAAAATTGGTGAGAGGAGTGATAGCATTGTTTTCATTTTGCAAATCTTTTTAATGTCTGCCTTAATAGAACCCATTGGCCTCAAGTCAATTCCAACTCACAGTGACCCTATAGGACAGAGTAGAGCTACCCGTAGGGTTTCCAAGGCTGTAAATCTTTATGCAAGCAGATTGCCACAACTTTCTTCCAAAGCAATCTGCAGATCCAACAAAATCCTGATAAAAATTCCAACAGCCTTCTTTATAGAAATAGAAAAACCAATCCTCAACTTTATATAGAAGGGCAAGAGGCCCCAAATAACTAAAACAACCTTGAAAGAGAAGAACAAAGTAAGAGGACTCACACTTCGTGATTTTGAAACATACTATACAGCTATAGTAATTAAAATAACCTAATACTGGTATAACAATAGACACATAGACCAGTGGAATAGAATTGAGAGTCCAGAAATAAACCCAAACATCTATGGTTAATTGATTTTTGACAAGGGTGCTAAGTCCCTTCAATGGAGAAAGAAGAGTCTCTTCAATAAATGGTGCTGGGAAAATTGGATTTTCACATGCAGAAAAATGAAACAGGATCCATGCCTCACACCATACTTAAAAAAAAAGTCAAAATGGATTAAGGACCTAAATGTGCAAACTAAAACCATAAAATTCTTAGAAGAACAAGCAGGGGCAACACTGTCAGGCCTAGCTTTCAACAATGGATTATCAAATATAATAACAAAAGCACAAGCTGCAAAAGACAAATAAATGGAACTTCATAAAAATTAAAAACTTTTGTTCATCAGAAGCCTTCACCAAAAAAGTGAAAATACGAGCAACTAGCTGGGAGAATATCTTTGGAAACCATATATCCAACAAGAATCTAATAACCAAAATACATGTAAAACTTCGACACTTAACAACAAAAAGACAACCCAGTCATAAAATGGGCAAAGGACTTGAATAGACATTTCATCAAAAAAGGACATTCAAATGGCCACCAAACACATGAAAAGATGCTCAGTGTCATTAGCCACTATGGAGATGCAAGTCAAAACCACAGTGAGATACTATTTCACTCCCACTAAGATGGCTAAGATAAACAAACAAACAGAAAATAACAAATGTTGATATGGGGAGATTGGAACTCTTATCCATTGCTGGTGGGAATGCAAAATGGTACAACTGTTGTGGAGAACAGTGTGACATTTCACAAAAAACTAAAAATAGAACTACTATGACCCAGCAATTCCATTTCTAGGTATATACCCCAAAGACTTGAAAGCAGAGGCTCAAAAACAGACTTGTACACCAATGTTTATTGCAGCACTGTTCACGATAGCCAAAAGGTGGAAACACTAAATACCCATCAACAGATGAATGGATAAACAAAATGTGGTATATACATACAGTGAAATACTACTCAGCTAGTGGGAGAAATGAAGTCTTGATATATGCTACAGCATGGATGGAGCTTGAAGACATTATGCTGAGTGAAATAAGCCAATCACAGAAGGACAAATATTGTATGACCTCATTTTTATAAAAAGACAAGAAAAGGTAAATCTATACAGACCAAAGTTTGTTAGTGGTTACCAGGGCGGGAGGGATATGGAAAAAAGTGGTTAATGGTGATGGGAAAATTGCATTGATTAAGGGTAGGGTTGCACAGCTGCTTATTGGAATCACTGTCAATAACTTGTACACCTGTAAAGAGTTAAATTGGGAAAGGTTGTGTGGTAGGCATATTTACAACAACAACAGAAAAAAAGAGTAGCTGCTGAGGCTGCTTATGTACAACCAAACACCTCATGGGATTTTGTTCCTTCTTTGGAGGTTTAGGGTCATGGTTTCATGGAACATTCCAGTTAATTGGCCTAATAGCGTGTTTAGTGCTTCTGTTCTACCTCCTAGTTCATTGCATAGTGTCTTGGGTCTTGCAAGCTTGTGAGTGGCCCTCCAAGGCATAACAATTGGTCTCTATTCACCTGGAGCAACAGAGGAAGGAGAGTCAGGAATAGGAGGAGGATATGGAATGTGTGGTTAACTGCCTCCATAAGCTACTGTGTCCTTTGCCATGAGACCAGAAGAACTGGATGGTGCAAAAGAGGGAACATGCAGAACAGAATTTCAAGTTCTCATGCACTCTAAACGTTCTGGAGCCATGGAGGGTGGATGAACCCCTGAAACTATTGCCCTGAAATAATCTTTAAACCTTAAACCAAAAATATCACCTGAAGTCATCTTAAAACCGACCAGTAGTTTAGCTTAACTGCTAAAAAAGGTCTGCCTTGAGCATTGTGCTCTTTTAAGAACTATATGGGACCAAACTGAGAACAGCAACTCAAAAGATTAGATAGGGAACTTAGGGGGCAGTGAGTTTATGTTAATGAGGAAAGAACAGCTCAGAAAATGAGGGTGAGAATGGTTGCACAACTCAGTGTAATCAGTGTCACTTAACTGTACATGTAGAAACAGTTGAATTGGTGTATGTTTTGCTATGTATGTTCTCAGCAACAACAAAATAAAACAAGCAAACAAAACCCTTAGTATCCCTCTCTGCACTGGGCAAATCTGCTGCAAAAGACCTCTTTAAAGTGTTGAAAAGCAAGGAGGTCACTTTGAGGACTAAGGTGTGCCTGACTCAAGCCATGGTATTTTCAATTGCCTCATATGCATGCAAAAGCTGAACAATGAATAAGGAAGACCGAAGAAGAATTGTGCCTTTGAATTCTGGTGTGGGCAAAGAATATTGAACATACCGTGGACTGCCAGAAGAACAAACAAATCTGTCTTGTAAGAAGTACATCCAGAATGCTCCTTAGAAGCAAGGGTGGCGAGACATCATCTCGCATACTTTGGACATGTTATCAGGAAGGACCAGTCCCTGGAGAAGGACATCATGCTTGGAAAAGTGGAGAGTCGGAGAAAAAGAGGAAGACCCTCAATGAGATGGATTGACAGAGTGGCTGCAACAATGGGCTCAAGCATAACAATGATTGTGAGCCTGGCGCAGGACCGGACAGTGTTTCATTCTGTTGTACATGGGGTCGTATGAGTCGGAACTGACTCGACAACACCTAACAACAGCATCCTCATCTCTACATGGAGTTGTTGTAAGGGTAAATAAAACAACATGTATTTTAAAAGAGTGGCAAATTGTACAGACTCTAGCATCCAAACTGTTGGGATTTAAGTCCCAGCTCTACTACTTGTAGGCTATGTGGCCTTTAGAAAAAAAAAGAAAGTGAAATCTTTCCCAGGCCCTCTCCCCATTCTCGTGGCACTGACTTCACACTGACTAGGACATTGTCCGGTGGTGAACCTAAACTGGAAAGGAGGCTAGGAATTGGAGTGTTCAGTTTTCTTAGCTTCTGTGGTAGAAACCAGTAAGGAGAAGGGAGTTGGGAATGTGTTGGTCACCCAGACTCGGACGTGTGCCGTAGTTTTCCACAGTGAGGTGTCAGTGCTAGCAAGATGATTTGAAATTCAGAGATAATCCACAGGCCCAGTTTAGTTAGTACTAGTAGTGCTACTTTCCCTATCACTTCCCTCTGAGACCTACAGTCACAGGGACTAAAAAAGACAGACCCATTTCTCTTCCTTTTTTCCCCTGCTTCCTTTTCGCTGAAGGTATCAAGAAATAGTCATCTAACTGGAATTAGAAGAGACAGGTCTGAATCCCAGCTCTGACTTTTTTTTTTTTTTTTTTTTAAGGTATGTAATTTTGAAGAAGTGCTAAACTTCTCTGGGCCTCAGTTCTCTTTCATTTGTAAAATAGAGCTACTCCTTCCTCTACCTTTTTCACTGTATTATTGTGAGGACACAGACAATAAATGAGGAAAATGCAATCTCCAGACTTAATTAGAACATGGGAAAGGGGCCTACTCCTAACTCAGTCACTTTAACCTCCTGGGCCCTCAGTTTCTTCATCTGTAAAATGGGTATAGCTCCAAATCTGGAGTGGTTGTAAGAAGGTGCTAATAATAAATCAGCCAAGAATGTCATGTATATTCAGCTACATATACTCTCAACATGACTCTTTAAAGAGGTCCGAGAGCTAACCATTTCCTCTTATTACAAAACAGCTCATTGGCACAGCAAAACCCCAGTGGCAACTGTCGACTGTCTATGAAGTCCACAGACTTTGAGGGGCTGTACCAGGAATGACCAGCCTGAACAGAACCAAAGCTTTTTTCACAAGCATGTCTGGATCATACTCAGCCCTTGGGATTATGACTTTGAGGGGGCGACTGGGTAGTCAGGCATTTCTGGAATGCATCCTCTAGCGTTTTCACTTACTGTCTGAAGGATCCTACAGTGGCCAATTTGGCGATCTTGTGTCAATTTGATTCGGGTGGTTGACCCACCCTCACCTGGAGAATCAGCAGGGAAATGGTGTGCCAGCTCCATAGCTCCTTCTGCCTCTCACCTTTGAGCTCGCAAGTATGCAGACTTGACCTTGGCAGAGGCCTGGGTCTCTAGAGCCCTGCAGCTTGACCCCTAAAGCCTCAGAGCTTGGATCCAAAGGTCCAATCTGGGGAACCGTGGAATCTTTTTTTTAAAAGAAAAGAGGGAAGCAGTTTGTTTCTTCATTCATTTGAAACAAGATGGGGGAAAAAAACACAGAGCAAACTCTTCTGCCTTATTAGCTTTTTATGAGAAAGAACAGCAACATTTGGAATAATGACCACTATGACAAAATCAGAAAATAGGGTCAAAACTTAACTTTATGGCCAAGAGTGTTTGCTTTTTTTCTTTTTTTAAGTCTAAAGGTATAGTTTCCACTGTTACTATTGAGTACTGTTAAGTATTGTTAATCTGCAAACATTTGCACTTGATACACTTTTATATTGTTTTAAAGAACTTGTCCTGTTAAGCCATTTCTTCAAAAAGTCCTATAAAAACTGCTAAAGGACTATAAAAAATAAAAAATCCTGTGGGGTTTCTGCTTCAGTGTTTTATTTGATGTGGCATTTTATTAAATATTTACTTAGGTGGGACTTTTTTTCCTTTGCTCTTTTTCTTCCCCTCTCTGCATCAGACCCACTTTTTCTTTCTCTGTCAGTTTCATTGTGTATGCTGAGTAATACAGCTATGAGTCGGAACTGACTCAACGACACCTAACAACAACAACAGCAGCTATTTGGTGAGAGTCAGCCCACTTTAAGTAGCTTTAAAAGGGGACTGGGGATGAATTGTTTCACTCAGTTAAAAGCCAAGGGGTAGTCTTCAGGCACTGTTGGATCCAGGGGCTCAAGTGGTATCATTAGGAATCTCTCTGTCTTCATCCCTCAGCACTGCTTGCCTTGGTGTGAGCTGCTTTCCCAGGCAGGCCTTCCCCACCTGAAGGTCCCAACAGCTCTAGTCTTACATCCGCCTTACACTTAGCACTCCATACTGGCTAAGAAAGATGCTCTTTTCCAATAGCATCCACAAATATTCTGGGTTTGGCTCTGATTGGTCAGACCTGGGTCATGTGAGCAACCCTGAACCAGTCACAGTGGCCAGTCACAGTGGGATATGCTGAGAGCCAGGACTGGGATATGCTTTCCTTCAGGAACCAGGGGAGGAGAGGTAGGTCAGCCCCACTGATTCCACACTGGGGGTCAGGGGATGCTGGGATGCACAGAGACAGGAAGAGAATCCTAAAGGAATATCAGAAGAAAGGAAATGTTTGCTGGGCCAAGAAAAATAAATGCCTTATTTCCTGCCACATGTGATGGCTATTTTTCTGTGTCAACTTAGCTAGGCTATAAACCCCATAAATTCATTGCCATCAAGTCAATTACGACTCATGGCAACCCTATAGGACAGAGTAGAACTGCTCCAGAGGGCTTCCAAGGAGCAGCTGGTGGATTCAAACTGCCAACCTTTTGGTTAGCCGCCAAGCTCTTACTGCACCCAGTTATTTAATCAAACCCTAATGTAGGTGTTGCTATGAAGGTATTTTATACATGTAGTTAATATCTGCAATCAGTTAACTTTAAGCAAAGGAGATTATCCTCCGTAATGTGAGTGGACCTCATCCAATCTGTTGAAAGGCCTTAAAAGCAAAAACTGAGGTTTCCCGAAAAAGAAGAAATTCTGGCCCCAACTGCATCAGCTCCTACCTAAGCTTCCAGCCTGCTGCCTTCCCTGCAGACTTCAGGCTTGCCAGCCCCCATGATCAGGATAGTCGATAACTTAAGATAAATGGATCTGTATCGTTACCTCTCTGTCTCTCCTATTGGTTCTGTTTCTCTGGAGAACCCTGACTGATACACCACACTAGGGCATAAAGGCTTTAACTGGATACAGAAATTTTTCTGTATCTCATAATGACCAGACATACTTGACACTAAAGGTAGAATCACCTCCATTAAAGAACAAGCACTGCCTATTCCTGTGCCAATGCCATGGGGATATTAATACTAACAGCTACTGCTTATTGAGTGTTTCTTTCCTCTGTGGAAGTTCCTGATGTGTTGTCTGTCTCTGCTACTCACCCTGCTAGGTTCTGAGGCTTCAGTGCTGAAGAATGAAAAGATCCCTGGCCTCCTGAAGTTTACATTCTAGGGCAGACAACAAGTGTATTAATTATCTGCTGCCACGTACCAATATTACTGCAAACTTGTTGTTAGTTACCATTGGGTCAATCCCGACTCATAGCGACCCCACATGTACAGAGTAGAACTGCTCCATAGGGTTTTCAAAGCTGTGATCTTTCAGAAGCAAATCACCAGGGCTGTCTCCCGAGGCACCTCTGGATGGGTTTGAACTGCCAACCTTTCAGGTAGTAGTCAGTGCTTAAGCGTTTGTGCCTCCTAGGGACTCCACCACGAACTTAGTGCCCTAAAACAACATGCATTTATCATCTCACAGTGTCTGTGGGCCGGAGTCTGGGCAGCTTGGCTGAGTCCTTTGCAAGGCTGTAATCAAGATGTTACCAAGGCTGGGTTCTCATTTGAAGTTCTGCTAGAGAAGAATCTACATCCAAGTTCAGGTGGTCATTGGCACTATTCAGTTCTTTTCAGGTTGCTGGGCCTCGCTCGGGCCTTGGTTTCTTACTAGCCAGAGGCCCATGGCCACCCGAAGTTCCTTGTCATGTGTCCCTTTCCATATGGAAGCTCACAGCATGGCAGCTTGCTTCTTCAAAGCCAACAAGGCAGACATTACATTCTTATGCAATGTAACCATGCATGGGTAATCACATACATCCCATTCCCTTTCCATGTTCTATTGTATAGATGCAATCCACACTCAAGAGGAGGGAATCACACAATGGTGTGCATACTAGGAGGTGAAGCTCATGGAGACCACCTTAGAGTCTGTTGCCACAGCAAGTAAAATAAAATATTAGATTATAATACATACATTGAAGGAAATAAAACCAGTTGCTGTCAATTTGATCCTAACTCATGGGTATGTGCTCCATAGGGTTGCAGACCGCCAGGCCATTCTTCCAAGGTGCCTCTGAATGGGTTCAAATCACCAACCTTTCAATTAGTAGTTGAGCACTTAACCATTTGTGTCACCCAGGGACTCCATAAAAAAGGGTGATAGTCGACACTAAAAGAAAAACCCATTGCCGTTGAGTCAATTCCGACTCACAGTGACCTATAGCCTAATATGCGGCATAAACAGGATAGAAACCATAATTAGCAATACACAAACACCAGAAGATAAGCTATATATATGGGATCTTCTAAAAATTAAACACTTAAGGACATCAAAAGGTAAAAAGAGAATCTACAGACTGGGAAAAAATGTTTGGCTATGACATATCTGACAAAGATCTAATTCTAAAATCTATAGGAAATTCCAACACCTCTGCAGTAAAAAGACAAATAATCCAATTAAAAAATGGGCAAAGGATATGAACAGACACTTCACCAGAGACGACATTCAGGCAGCTAGCAAACACATGAGGAAGTACTCGCGATCACTAGCTATAGAGAAATGCAAATCAAAACTACAATGAGATACAATCTCACCCTAACATTACGGGCACGAATCAAAAAAAACAGAAAATAACAAATGCTGGAGAGGTTTCGGGGAGATTGGAACTCATATGCACTGCTGGTGGGAATGCAAAATGGTACAACCATTTTGGAAAACGATATGACACTTCCTTAAAAAGCTAGAAATAGAAATACCATAGGATCTAGCAATCCCACTTCTAGGAATATATCCTAGAGAAATAAGAGCCATCACAGGAATAGACACATGCACACCCATGTTCACTGCAGCATTATTCAAATAGCAAAAAGATGGAAACAACCTAAGTGCCCTTCAACAGATGAATGGATAAACAAACTATGGTACATACACACAATGGAGTACTATGCGATGATATAGAACAATGGTGAACCTGCGAAACATCTCACAATATGGATGAGTCTAGAGGGTGTCAGGCTGAGTGAAATAAGTCCATCACAAAAGGACAAATACTGTATGAAACCACTATTATAAAAACACATGAAAATGTTTCCACACAGAAAGAAACAATCTTTGATGGTTATGAGGGTGGGGATGGGTGGGGAGGGGAAAACACTAACTAGATAGTAGATTAGTGGTAACTTTGGTGAAAGGTAATACCTTACACAATACTGGGGATGTCAACACAACTTGACAAGGGCAAAATCATAGAAACTTCACAGACACACCCAAACTCCCTGAGGGACTGAAATACTGGGCTGACGCTGTGGACCATGGTTTTGGGAGACATCTTCTCAATTGGCTTAACAGTCTATAAAGAAAATATTCTACATCTGACTGTGGTGAGTAGTATCTGAAGTCTTAAAAGCCTGCGAGCGGCCATCGAAGATAACATCTACTGGTCCCATCCCGGCTGGAGCAAAGGAGAATGAAGAAAACCAGAAACACAAGGGCAAGATTAGTCCAAAGGAATAATGGACCACAACTACCACAGCCTCCCTCAAACTGAGCCCAGAACAACTAGATGGTGCCCGGTTACCACCACAGACTGCTGTGGCAGGGATCACAATACAGTGTCCCAGACAGAGCAGGAGAAAACTATAGAACAAAATTCAAATTCACACACACACAAAGAAAAGACCAGGCTTGCAGGTCTGACAGAGACTGGAGAAACCCCAAGAGTAAGACCCCCGGACACCCTTTTAACTCAGTACTAAAGTTACTCCTGAGATTCACCCTTCAGCCAAAAATTAGGTCTATAGGGCCAACAATAACACACATGAGGAATGTGCTTTGTAGTTCAATCATGTATACAAGACTAGACAGGCACACCAGCCCAGAAGCAAAGATGAGAAGGCAGGAAGGGACAGGAAAACTGGATGAATGGAAATAGGGAACCTGGAGTGGAGAAGGGGAGAGTGTTGACATCACAGAGTTGGCAACCAATGTCACAAAACAATTTGTGTATTATCTGTTTAAGGAGAAACTAATTTACTCTGTAAACTTTCACCTAAAGCACAATAAAAAAAAAATTTTTTTAAAGGTGATAAATAATGGGGGGAAGAGGGAAAGGCCACTTCTTTCTCTTTAAACCAAACCCCAATGAATGAGAAGTGTTCAGCCAGGCAATGGCATCTGCAGCAGAGGGCACAGAAACATGAAGGCCCAGAGGCTGGAAGGAGTTTGCCATGTTTAAGGAATGGAAATGAAGCCATGTGGCTGGCCCAGTGAGCAAGAGGTGGATGGTAGGAGATGAGGGATAAACAGGAACTCGTCATGCAGGACTTCACAGGGAATGAAGTTTACACCAAAGAGCGAAGGGGAGATACTGAAGAATTTTACACAGGAGAGTGACAAGATAAGACTTAAGTGCTTAAAGATCACTCTGTGGGCATCAGATTGGAAGAAAGTGTGTGTAGAAGCAAGAAGGCCAGTTAGGCCTGCGGAAGTCCAGAGCACAGGAAGACCATTGGAGGGTGTAGATTGGAAGTAATGGAGATCTTCCTTGAATGGAGAGCCAGCAAGCCTTGGTGATGGATTGAATGTGGGTGGTGGGGGAAGGGGCACAAGGATGACACCTAGATTTTTGGCTTGAGCCAGTGGGTAGACAGTGGCATTATTTTCTGAGATGGGGAATGTGTGAAAAATTCAAAATCTGCTTTGTTCCTTTTAAATCAGATATGTCTTGCTGATACCAAGAGGATGTGCCAAGTAGGCAGTTGGCTCAGAGGGTAGGTCTGGGCTCGTGTACTGGATTGGATAGTGCCCCTCCTCCACAAATTCATGTCCTTCCCAGAAGC